ATCATGATGCTGCAAATCAGCCCAGTGGTGAGAATCTTTGTTTCTTGATATTGGGCTTAAAAATGTGAGTGTGTGTGTGTGTGTGTGTGTGTGTGTATAAAATTTAAAATTTGTACTTCACAAAAAAGAAAAAGTCACAGAAGCAGGCTGATAAGAAATGACTATAAACTCTGCTCCGTACATGGGCATATTTTAAAATTAAGAACTATTATCTAACTGACATCTAACTGAATGTGAGAAAGCAGTAGTAGAATATTTATCTAATGAAATCCACTATCTTTCTATGAAGTTGAAAGTTGTACAGAATCCACACCCAACATAATGTGAAATTTTCATTAATTCACAGTGATGAGGTCCGAGAATTTCTGGCTTTCTAAATAAATTCTTTAATCTTTTCAAGATAAATTTGAATAGTACGCAGATAAATCAGTATCTTCCTAGATACTACCTCCCATGTCTAATATTATTTCAAATCATTACCAAAAAGGAGTTTAAAAATACAATAGCTTACCCTACACAATTCACTTCCTTAGGATAATTCAGTGAGCGAAGTACTTGTTCCAGGTTCCGTAAGCTTCTTTTTAAGTCACCTGTTGCCATTATTAATATCAGAATCACCTCCAGCTCTTGAAGTTGAGTATTTTACCTAAAAATAAAAATACATGAATAATGATTTTTAAGTTATTGTTTTTCAACTTCTCTATTCTATTTACATCTCTATAGGCACTCATCATGGTTATTTCATATTAGCCATTTATGTCCAATTTATGTTCCATACTGGTCTAGTACTGGTTTCTTTTTTTTTTTTTTTTTGTTCTACTATGTATGCCGTGGGATGACAAAGCAAAATATTACAATGAAATGTGCAAGGAGTTGGACTCAGAAAATCAAAAGGGTCGAACTCGCTCAGCATATCTTAAGCTCAAGGAACTGAAGAACAAATTCAAACCTCAAGTTGCTATAATCAAGGATGCTTTCGGCAGAATGTTAAATGTTAAAAGAAGATGGAAAGAATATACTGAGTCACTGTATCGAAAGGAATTGGAAGACACAGAAGAATTTCAAGAAACAACATGAGCAAGAGCCTATGGTGATGAAAGAAGAAGTTCAGGCTGCTTTGAAGGACATGGCAAAAAATAAGGCTCCAGGAATAGATGGTATACCAATTGACATATTTCAGTTAACAGATGCTGCCCTGGATGTGCTCACCAAGTTGTGCCAAGAAATCTGGAGAACGACCACTTGGCCAACTGACTGGAAGAGATCGATATTTGTTCCTATCCCAAAGAAAGGTGAACCAACAGAATGTGGAAACTACAGAACAATCTCACTGATTTCACATGCAAGCAAGATTTTACTGAAGATTATCCAAAAACGACTGGAACAGCACATCAACAGAGAACTACCAGAAGTCCAGGCTGGGTTTAGAAAGGGTCGTGGTACTAGAGATATTGTAGCTGATGTTAGATGGATCTTGACTGAAAGTAGGGAATACCAGAGGAATATCTATCTGTGTTTCATTGACTATGCAAAGGCATTTGACTGTGTAGATCATAACAAACTATGGCTGACTCTGAGAAGAATGGGAATCCCAGAACACTTCATTGTTCTAATGTGAAACTTAAACTTGGACCAGGAGGCAGTCGTCAGAACAGAGCAAGGGAATACTGAATGGTTCAAAATTGGGAAGGGCATACGCCAGGGATGCATCCTATCTCCATACCCTTTCAACCTATATGCAGAACAGATTATCCGGGAGGCTGGGCTCTATGAGGAGAAATGTGGGGTCAAGATTGGTGGACAATCTATCAACAACCTGCGTTATGTGGATGACACAACCCTGCTTGCTGAAACTGAAGAGGACCTGAAGCGCCTGCTGCAGAGTGTCAAGGACTGCAGCCTACAATATGGATTGAGGCTCAATGTCAAGAAGACAAAGATTCTCACCACTGGACCAATTGGCAGCATCACGATGGATGGTGAAGAGATTGAGATTGTACACAGCTTTAGTTTGCTTGGCTCCATAGTCAACAGTCTTGGCACCAGCAGTTAGGAAATTAAAAGGCGCATTGCCATGGGAAAGTCTGCTGTTAGGGACCTCTCCAAAGTACTGAAGAGCAATAGTGTCTCTTTGGAGACTAAGGTGCGTCTGATACAGGCCATGGTCTTCGCAATCACTTGTTATACATCAGAGAGTTGGACAATGACCAAGGAGAATTGATGCCTTTGAGCTGTGGTGCTGGAGAAGAGTATTGAGAATACCATGGACTGCTAGGAAAACAAACAGATTTGTCCTGCAAAGGGTTAAACTGGGTGGCTCCTTGGAGGCAAGGATTCTGAGGCTCCATCTAACATACTTTGGACATGTTGTGAGGAGAGACTGGTCCTTAGAGAGGGACATGATGCTTGGGAGGGTGGAGGGACAGCACAGGAGAGGAAGGCCCTCTATGAGGTGGATTGATTCAGTGACTGGGAGAATTGGGATGGGAGTGTCAGAGACAGTGCGATTGGCACAGGACAGAGCGGAGTTTAGGGCTGTTGTACATAGGGTCGCTATGAGTCGCAAGCGACTCGACGGCACATAACAACAACAACAACAATATGTATGCCTCAATATAAGGTCATTTTTTTTCCCAAGGTGTTTTTCTTTATAATCATGTTCTTACAAGTTCCTTGTATCATTCAATAGTCTGTCAAAACTTCATCTTAAACAGAAGTGTATCACAAACACAACAACTTGATATGTCTGTGGAATAAATAAATAACTAAATCCTAATCCCCTATATGACATTTACAAAATTAATTCCATGCTCATAAGATCTAAATATGAATAGTAAAACAAGGGAGTGAAAATGATAATGACAATATATATAACCAATAAACGACAGGTCTGGAATATGTAATGAATCTCCTATAAAATAATAAGAAAAAAGAAAGATAATGCAATAGAAAAACAGGCAAGACATTATTAGGTACATATCCTAAAAAAGAAAGAGCTGTAGAATGAACAAATGTACATACATATATGGTCACTGCAGCATTATTTATAATAGTCAAGAAATGGAAACAACCCAAATGTCCATCAATGAGAAAATGGATAAAAAAGTATGGTACATTCACATAATGGAGCACTAAACAACACTAAAAAAACAATAAAGAATTCACAAAACACTACTATACCATGGATGAATCTGGAGGATACTATGAAGAGTGAAGTAAGGCCATCACAAAAAAGACAAATATAAAACTATGCCTAGACAAACAGAACTACTGTATAAACAGAGCAAGGATACACTCCATGGTTTAAAAATAAGAAAGCTATTTGTCAGGGTTATATTCTTTCTCCATACTTCTTCAATCTATACACTAAGCATTTTCTGCAAGAAGCTGGATTCTATGAAGAAGGCTGTGAAAGAAACAGCAGAATTCAAGAAAGCCTCATCAACAACTTACTCTATGTAGATGACACAACCTTGCTTGCTGAAAGTTAAGGAGGACTTGAAGCACTTGCTATAGAAGATCAAAGAATACAGCCTTCAATATGGATTGCATCTCAACATTAAGAAAACAAAAACTCTCATCACTGGACTGACAAGGTCTATCATCATAGATAGAGAAAAGACTGAAACTGTCAGCAACTTTATTTTACTTGGATCCACAATAAACACCTTTGGTAAACTAGGAAAGTGTTTCAGGGACTCCTCCAAATTCTTGAGGAGTGATGATGTCAGTTTGAGGTCTAAGGTTTGCCTGATTCAGGCCATGGTCTTTTCAATCACCTGCTATGCCTCTGAGAACTAGAGAATGAATAAGGATGACAGAAGAAGAATTGATGAATAGTCCATGGACTGCCAAAAGAACAAACAGACTCTTCTTGGAGAAGGGGCAGCCAGAGTGCTCATTGGAGACAAAGATGATGACGTTTCTTTGAAGTATGTTGTTAGGAGAGGCTACTCCTTAGATAAAGACATCTTGCTGAGAAAGATGGAAGGTCAGCCAAAAAGAGGAAGACCTTCAATCATACGGACTGACATAGTAACTACAACAGTGGGTTCAAGTATGGCATAGATTGTGAGGATAAGACAAGGTTCAGGCGTATTGTTCACAGGGTCACTATGAGTCATACTTGACAGCACCTAACAAAAACATCATAAAAAGTCAGAAAAGCTTTGCACACAGAATACTTTTTCGATAGAAATGAGGAATGGGAAGGGTGAGGAAAGCATAAATCAGTAAATAGATAAGACATACTTAAGATTGGTGAAGGGAAGGTAATACACAATAAGAGAATGATCAGTACAATATCACTAAAGAAAGGCAGACACAGAAAAGTATAGAAGGATTAATGGAAATTAGAATTAAAGGGCAGAAGTGGGGAAAATGTGATTATATTATTGTTACTGAAATTAATGTTACAAACAAAACATGTATGAATGGTAAAAGAAAAATAAGGTTGCTTTTAAATTTTCACTCAAAATAGAATAACCTAAAGAAACATAAGGGCAAAAGAACTGAGTAAGAACTTTACAAAAGAAGATATAAGTTAAAAAAAAATCTCACTGCCCATTTCTCTTCAGGAAGCCAATCACTGGCCGAAATAGATTAAAACCAGGATAGGAGACATCTTTGGGTTTGCACTGTCCCTATAGACTGTGCCAACAGAATTCTCTCCATTAGTCATTAGGAAACTACAAAGAAAATGAAAAATTTAAGGTGATAGGGCATTTGAGACTTACTCAATGTTGTGAAAAGGGTAAACTGCTATCATCACTTTAGGAACTCAATGCATTATCTACTAAAGGTGACATGCATGAGGCCCATGAAAAAGAATACAACACCTAAAAATACACATTACCAATTATGTCCCCAGAAATATGTTAAAAACTGTTAATGTAATCTCATTTGTGAATGGCTTTCCTTGTTATGTAATAAGACAGTATAAGTGTAGAGGGTGTATTACATCAGTCTCTTTTAAGATACAAAAAAGGTCAAGCAGGTGAGTAAGCAGATACGGGGAAGGCAGATACTATGCCACATGAACATCATCAAAGAGCAAAGGAAGAGAAGCTGAAAAGAGAACATCTCACAAAGGAGACATAAAGATAAAGCTTTCCACTAGAGAAAGTACCCTGAATGCAGAATTCTAGCCTCCTGAACTGGAAAAATAATATTTAAAAAAACCAAAAAGAAACAGTTCTAGTGACTGTGATCTTGCTTATGATGACTGAGGTGTTAAATATCACTCGCATATTGTAACTACAGCCATCTAAAGTTCAACTATCAGTCTCTCCCTGTCAAGAAGGAAGAAAAGCAAAAGTGTACTGAAAGACTTAGGCCAAAAGACTAATATACTATGTGAACTTCAGCTTCAACAAACCTGAGACCAAAAGAACTAGATGGCAACACTTAAAGTTTGCAACCTATCAACAGCTTTTAAAAAGATGAGGAAATGAAATTAACATAGGCAGACAAACAGAAACTGCCTCATATACCAAAACCAACTTCTCATAATGTACAAGAAGCAACAGGCAGCTTCAAACATTATTAAAAACAAAGCAAGCCTTCTTCTACAAAAGCAGATCCAATCACAGACTCAATGA